CAAAGGAGGAGCTAGATAGTAAACGTGAAGGTCTTATAACAATAATGAGAGAGATTATAGCGGGAGCGGATAACGATAGATCACGACTGTTGATAGTCGGTGACTTCAACTTGAAATCCATAGACTGGGAAGCATATGAAGCTAAAACAGAAGATTTTTGGACCTGTAAATTTGTAGACCTCATCCTGGAAACATTCTTGTATCAACATGTTAAACAAGCTACGAGGATGAGGGAAGGGGACGTTCCCTCCATGCTAGATTTGATATTTACCAGGAAGGAGGAAGAGATATTTGACATTCAGTACCTTCCTCCCTTGGGTAAAAGTGACCATGTCTTTTTGGGAATAAAGTATGCAATGCGTTATAAGCTGGAAGAAAATAAGGAGGTTGAAGCAGTTGAAAAACCAGACTTCAGGAGAGGACATTATGGTGACCTTAGAAATTTTTTTAGTGAGTATAATTGGACAGACTTGATGCTAGGCAAGGAAGTAAATGAGATGTATGGCAAGTTTTGTGAAATATATGATAAAGGCACAAAAAAATTATACCAAAACAGAGATGCAGAACTAGGAAACAGGATTGGTTCAATAGAAATTGCGAGAGGGCTAGAGACCGAAAGACACAAAAATGGAATCAATACAGGAAGAGGCCGAACCCCCAAACATACCAGCGATACAAAGATGCGAGAAACAACTACACGGCAGTGAGGAGAGAGGCAGAAAGAAATTTTGAAAAAGGGATTGCGGACAAATGTAAAACAGAACCAGGTCTATTCTATAAATTCATAAACAACAAATTGCAGGTAAAGGATAATATTCAGAGGTTGAAAATGGGAAATAGATTCACGGAAGATGAAAAGGAAATGTGTGAAACACTAAACGAAAAGTTCCAAAGTGTGTTTGTACAAAATGAAATCTTTAGGGAACCAGATACAATAAGAATTCCAGAGAACAACATAGAACACATAGAGGTGTCTAGAGACGAAGTGGAAAAAATGCTCAAGGAGCTCGGTAAGAACAAAGCAGCTGGCCCAGATGGCGTTTCACCATGGGTTCTGAGAGAATGTGCATCTGAGCTCAGCATTCCACTTCACCTGATCTTTCAGGCATCCCTGTGTACAGGAATCGTAGCAGACGGGTGGAAACAGGCTAACATAGTTCCAATCTACAAAAGTGGCAGCAGGGAAGACCCCCTCAATTATAGACCTGTATCATTGTCAAGTGTAATAGTGAAAGTATTGGAAAAACTAATCAAAACTAAATGGGTAGAACACCTAGAGAGAAATGATATAATATCAGACAGACAGTATGGTTTTCGATCTGGAAGATCCTGTGTATCGAATTTACTCAGTTTCTATGATCGAGCCACAGAGATATTACAGGAAAGAGATGGTTGGGTTGACTGCATCTATCTGGACCTAAAAAAAGGCTTTCGACAGAGTTCCACATAAGAGGTTGTTCTGGAAACTGGAAAATATTGGAGGGGTGACAGGTAAGCTTCTATCATGGATGAAAAATTTTCTGACTGATAGAAAAATGAGGGCAGTAATCAGAGGCAATGTATCGGAATGGAGAAATGTCACAAGTGGAGTACCACAGGGTTCAGTTCTTGCACCAGTGATGTTTATTGTGTACATAAATGATCTACCAGTTGGTATACAGAATTATATGAACATGTTTGCTGATGATGCTAAGATAATAGGAAGGATAAGAAATTTAGATGACTGTCATGCCCTTCAAGAAGACCTGGACAAAATAAGTATATGGAGCACCACTTGGCAAATGGAATTTAATGTTAATAAATGTCATGTTATGGAATGTGGAATAGGAGAACATAGACCCCACACAACCTATATATTATGTGAGAAATCTTTAAAGAATTCTGATAAAGAAAGAGATCTAGGAGTGGTTCTAGATAGAAAACTATCACCTGAGGACCACATAAAGAATATTGTGCAAGGAGCCTATGCTATGCTTTCTAACTTCAGAATTGCATTTAAATACATGGATGGCGATATACTAAAGAAATTGTTCATGACTTTTGTTAGGCCAAAGCTAGAATATGCAGCTGTTGTGTGGTGCCCATATCTTAAGAAGCACATCAACAAACTGGAAAAGGTGCAAAGACATGCTACTAAGTGGCTCCCAGAACTGAAGGGCAAGAGCTACGAGGAGAGGTTAGAAGCATTAAATATGCCAAAACTAGAAGACAGAAGAAAAAGAGGTGATATGATCACTACATACAAAATAGTAACAGGAATTGATAAAATCGACAGGGAAGACTTCCTGAGACCTGGAATTTCAAGAACAAGAGGTCATAGATTTAAACTAGCTAAACACAGATGCCGAAGAAATATAAGAAAATTCACCTTCGCAAATAGAGTGGTAGACGGTTGGAACAAGTTAAGTGAGAAGGTGGTGGAGGCCAAGACCGTCAGTAGTTTCAAAGCGTTATATGACAAAGAGTGCTGGGAAGACGGGACACCACGAGCGTAGCTCTCATCCTGTAACTACACTTAGGTAATTACATCTTTTCTCAATCTTTGGCGGCTTTGTTTACAATTATTAAACAGCTAATGAGTTACGAAACACCAGGAGGCTGTTTATAACAATAACAACAGTTGATTGGGAAGTTTTCATGCTTGTAAACTGTTTAATAAATACAACCAAAGCCGTCAAAGATTGAGGAAAGATGTACACGTTCGTAAATGCTTGCGTAACTGCTTCGTGAAAATGGCCCCTGGAGTATATACACAGTAGAGGGAGCATATGGTAGTGTATTGCTGAGGCGGTTCTTGACGCCAACATTGTAGGAAAGACTTCAGAACACGGTGAAATAATACCATACTATACTAATAATCATAATAATAATTACAATACCATTGGATTAAAACTTGCACTTGTGTAATTGGTAAACAAAATTTTAAGATTTACATAAAGTCTTTCACACTCTCCTGAGTGCTTTGTCGAAGTCTGAGTGTGTGGCTGCGACAGACTTACATCTATCTGTCGTTGTGATGCAAAGTCTCGTCCCAACAACACACTCAGACATTGACATAACACTCAGGAGAGTCCGAAAGACTTTGAGTAAATCTTTACAGAAATTTCACAAATTAGACAAGTGCGGGTTTTTATCCTATGGTAATATGTCTGTGAGAAGACATTACCATTACTTAATTACAATAATAATAATTAATAATAATAATTAATAATAATAATAATGATAATAATAATAATAATAGTGCACGGAAACTTAGGAGTACATAGTGTGCAGGTTCGAATCCCCAAGGCTTATACTGATCTTTTTAATAGTAATAATAACATTAATAATTTGACATAGTAATAAACGCGGTGTATTTAGAAGAAGTTTTCTAATAAAAAAGTTTGTCATAAGTTGACTGTTGACAGACTCTCGGGTGCTAATTTACTGATACGTGAGCAGCGGTATTAAGTGAAAAGGAAAGTACACAGTCACTTTTGCCCCGCCCGGGAGTCGAACCGGATCCCAAATTCTAAGTCGAGGACAAAGCTAAGTGTACTGCTGCCTGTGCTATCTACACAGCGTTTTTCAAACTTTCTTTTTTCTGCAACCCACAGCAAGAAGTGCATTGTACTGTAACACAGTACAATGTGTTACAGTATGGCTGTGTGAAGTATGTCACACACAAACTGTGCATTATGTTCCTTTATTTACTATTGACACATGATAAATGCATATTTATGGATGGGATATTTTAAATTAAATTACATATTTCTGTTTTTAGCAAGAATATTAAAAAAATTGCATGAAGTTTTATAAAAAAAGACGGTAAACAATATTAAAAAAAAGTGTTCATTTAATGAGAAGGATGTGCTTGTTTGTTCGTAGATAGCTGATTCTATTCTGTCTTTCGCTTTTAATTGAGTTATTGTTTATAAAATCCTAGTTCACACAAATTGTGGTAGTAGAAGGCAATAGCATCAAGAAAGCCTTTTTGACTTAAAAGTGGAAATTCTCCTATAATCTTAATCCAAAATAAGGACAAATTTTGTTGCTTAAAATCATTCTTGTGTAAATGAACTACTAAGATATAAGATGGAACAATTCCGCACCAATCGCCTGGCAACAAGCATGCCGCCAGCCTAATAAATTACAATGATTGGTAATGAGTGCGAATGTTATTGTCGCTCTCTCTCTTGCCTAGTTTTTCTTTTTTTTTGTCGCGGCCCATTTTATTTATTTTGCGATCCACTTTATGGACTCAGTTTGAAATGCCCTGACTTTCAGTATGCCAATGTCATTATAACAAATATCATAAATAAATATCCCCAGTTTGTTAATTGTAGGTAGTAAATGTATGTGATTGTACCTTTCCCAGTCCGTCCTCGTAAAGTTTCCCAACGTCAAGAAACTGTCGTAACAACGTGCCCTCTCCTAACCTTCCAGAGGATCCAAAACAGAAAACGGGATAATTTGTCATTTTCGCGAGCCGCTACCATTTTCTTGTACGACAATTTTTGCCCTCAGTTAAAGTACGCGTCAAAATGCGACGCTCTATTAGGACGGGTTGTGTCCCCTCCATTATGTGCCTCTGTTACCCTTTCCTCTACCGCCCAGTTATGCTTCCTTACCTTTGACGGTGATATAACTCATAACGAACATGCTATTCAGTATATCATTGTTAACAAGCGCGCTTTATTTTCCTGCAAACAAATAATTGTATGCTGGCGTCAACACCTATGACGTCATGCTCTCTCTAGTATACATACGTTTCAAGGTTGTAATGAGGAGGAAATCGCTACAATAAGCGCATATCCTGTACAATCAAGCTTTTGAATAGTCTGCTTCAGGGCCCCTGGAATTAGCTACATTGATAAGATATTATTGTTCTACAAGAGAGTCATAGTACCTATAATTTTGTGTAATATTAGTGACAATGTTCAAGTACAGCGCGCTAATGCGCTAAGGAAAGCGAAAACTCGCTACAGGAAGCAACCTGAGATACAGCAGAGAGGAACCGCTCGCCTCAGTACGCTGTTGAAGGTGGAGTGAGGAGGTAGTCGCTCTCCGGCCACACTCTCGCCCTTGTCACGCTGCTCTAACCTCTTCACACTTATCTCACGCAAAACAGGAGAGCTTAACCTACCTTGCTAACACGCTACAGTGACCCCCGGTGGTACCATGATTGCCGTCAATAATTAGTTTGTCGTGTATTTTGGCTGGCAAAGCTTTGATAACATGAAGCGGTTGTGAGTGAGCCAACAAGCAGTGTTAGTGAGGATACAACTTCTTCCCAGACAGTTCCCCACCACACTAACCTCTGACCATAACTTGGACAATGCTATGAACAAGTAAGTGGATGTTATCAGTGTTTGTCTATGTTTACAGTGTCCGTGTTTACAGTGTTTGTCTGCATTTACAGTGTTCGTGTTTAGTGTTTGTCTATGTTTACAGTGTCCGTGTTTACAGTGTTTGGCTGTATTTACAGTGTTTTTTACTTTTTTGTCTTTACAGTGTTCGTGTTTAGTGTTTGTCTATGTTTACAGTGTTTGTTCGTATTTAGTGTCCGTATTTACAGTGTTTGTCCGCGTTTGCCTCGGGGCTTTATGGTGTTTGCCTCGGGGCTTTATGGTGTTTGCCTCGGGGCTTTATGGTGTTGGGGCCCAGTTGTTACTGAGCCCCAACTGGGTAGGTGTGGAGCAAGACTAGTAACTGTGTGACTCACTATAGATGTAAAGTGCCTTGTATAGTGACTGTTGTGAGCCTCTTGTTGAATCACTTGTGATATAAAAATATTATTGGTATGTGTTTATGTACATGTATGTATATATATATATATATATATATATATATATATATATATATATATATATATATATATATATATATATATATATGGCACAACTCTCCTAAACACGAGAGTTAAGTATACAACTTTAGAACACTTTCCCACCAGGAGACTCGAACCCTAGCCAGCACAGAAGCCTTCCAGCAACTGGCATAACAGGTACGCCTTAACCCTCTCCACCACCGCTCAGACCCTTAAAAGAGATGGTAATTTCGGAGTATTTAAATACCCCAAAGATCAACACCTCCCAAGAGGTGTTGATCTTTGGGGTATTTAAAAAATAATTTAAGAGGTATCTTTGGGGTATTTAAATACTCCAAAATTACCATCTCTTTTAAGGGTCTGAGCGGTGGTGGAGAGGGTTAAGGCGTACCTGTTATGCCAGTTGCTGGAAGGCTTCTGTGCTGGCTAGGGTTCGAGTCTCCTGGTGGGAAAGTGTTCTAAAGTTATATATATATATATATATATATATATATATATATATATATATATATATATATATATATATATATATATAATATATATATATATATATATATATATATATATATATATATATATATATATATATATATATATACACGAAAGTACTTAAGGAAATTCCTGTTTCAATTTTCCTCCGTGGTCTGACACTGTCACATTTTTTATCACGTGTTTATTCTTCGTGATTTACACACACACACACACACACACACACACACACACACACACACACACACACACACACACACACACACACATATATATATATATATATATATATATATATATATATATATATATATATATACACATGAGTATGTAATATTAACAATTGTGTATCTAGCTTCATAAGATTGTCACTTGCTTAGCTAAACGAACTCTGGGGTTCAGTTCCTGAACATATTATGTGCCTCTGTAACCCTTTCCACCCACGCCCACGGGATGGGTATGGGTGCATAATAAAGAAAATAAATGACATACAATATTGTGTTTGTCACGGAGCTTTGTATTGTTTGTCACTGGGCTTTATAATGTTTGTCACGTGAATTTATTACGATTGTGACAGGGCTTTATGATGCTTGTCACGGTTTTGTTCAGTATTTAAATACAAAATATAACAACGCCTCTGTTATTTTTGTCAGTGTCAGTCAATGTTTGGTATAATGAGATGGGCCCCGGACCCATCGTGTGAGTGGCGGGGGGCCCAGAAGTGTGAGTGGCGAGTGGCGGGGACCCCAGTCGTGTGAGTGACGGGAGGGACCCCATCCTGGCCGCCAGGTAGTGTGTTGAGGGAGGGAGGGGGGGGGGGAGTGAGTCAGCTCATCAGTGCGTGTCACCTTGTGTAATTATCACCTGGTTATTGAGGGAGTTCCACCGTCACTCTCGCTTGCGGTGACGGTGAGACATAATGACGGTGAAAGTGAGGGATACTGGCAGAGAGTGTGAAGGTCACCCGGAGGAATGGTGAAGAAGAAAGTGAGGGAAAATGATAGTAACTGATCAAATAAAAGGCTATTCATAAATGGTAATACATTTGTAACTGGGAAACTTTACATAAAATGTACAGTACATTAATTGCACAAGTGCCACAGTAACAGCATATCACGTGGATGTTGTCTTTATCAGAATTAAAAACTTATTTACTTAATTCGTAACAAATCATTACAATATTGGCTAGTCTAAACAGGTGTGTAGTGATCTAATCAAACTTAAGTTTTAGAAATATAGTTGGTGACATTTAGCTGACAGTTTGAGAGATATATTGTAAAGACAAAGTGAGGTTTAACAGTAGAGCGGCAAGGCGTATATTGGTACAATTTATATCACAAAATTAGGATGAGACAAGTATATAACTAATATACACTTATTTATTTATCTATTTATATACAAGAAGGTGCATTAAGCTGAAAACGTACATATATTGGGGTTTGAGTTATATTCTTGAAGAACCATCAACACTCATACCGTTTCCCGCAGGTCCTTATGCTAAACATTGAGAGTAATAATAGGTACTTTGTAACAGAATGTTAGTTCAACATAATAATTATATTACAAATTGAGAGAATTTATTACACTGAAGTTGCATTACTTGAGTACTAAATTGGATGAGTGGGTAGCACAAGGTGGCGAACTGTGGATGAAATTAGGTACTTTTTGGTTTGACTTGCGTGATAAACTATATGATGGACAATTTTTAATTCATTAGGGGGTGAGTTCCATACACTGGGTCCTTTTATTTGCATGGAGAGTTTGCACAGATTTAGTCTGACTCTGGGGATATCAGAGAGATTTATTTCTAGTGTGGTGCTCATGGGCTCTATTACGTCTATCAAAGAAGATTTTCAAATCAGGATTAGAATCAATGAACAAGGTTTTGAAAGTGAAAATTACAAGAAATTGAGTGTATGTTTAGCATGTTTAAGGATTTGAACAGAATGGCTGTTTGTTGTCTGAAGACAGTTATCGTTTTGATAGCAAATTTTTGCTGGGTGATGATGGGCTTGAAGTTGTTTGCAGTAATTGAAGCCCATGCACAGATACCATATGTAAGATAGGTATAAATTAGCGAGTAGTATTATGTAAGAGCAGAGCACGGAACGTAATATCTGATTTTTGAGATCATACTAACAATTTGAGACTTGACTGTATTGTCTGTGAGTACTGAAGTTAAGTCTCTTGTCTGTATATAGGCCAAGGAACGTTCCTTCGTATTTACTATTAATGTTGACATTGTCTATCTGAAGGTAAATTTGGTTTAATTATTTCCTTTCAAGTAAAATGTAGTTCTTTTCTATGTTTAGTGTTTGTCGACATCTATGAGTGAACTTGTTTTTTAATTCGTTATTTACAATATTATTTAGTGTGTGGGGTTGGGGTCTGAATAAGTGATAGTAGTATCGTCAGCAGAGAGTATAGGTTTAAGAACATTGGAGACATTTGGCAAGTCATTTATGTATACAAGAAATAGGAGAGGTCCTAAGATGCTGCCCTGTGGTACTCTTGCGGTGAGTGGTAGAGAGGGAGAGGTTATGTCGTTGATGGCTACATACTTGTGCCTGTTATGATAGGATCGAATATAGTTCAGGGCGGGTCTCGGATCCCATAGTGATGAAGTTTAAGTAAGAGATAGTTATGATTTACTACATGCCTTTCTCGGGTCAATAAAGAGGCCAATTGGGAAATATTTTGTCAAGGGCTGTGTAAATTATACCAAGCAAATGGAAACCAAACTGACTAGGATTGAATACACTGAATTTTACAAAGTAGGAGTAAACCTGTTTTTGAATTGTTCAAATAATTTTAATGGTACCGGTAGGTTTGATATTAGTCTGTAATTGCTTTTGTCAGCTGTATCACCTCCTTAATGAATTGGTGTTACTCTTGCTTTTTTAAGGATATCAGGAAAAGTATGACACTCTTGAGATTTGTTTAATAGTGAGCTATGGGCGGTGCAAGGGCATGAGCGGCACTTTTATATACCATAGTTGGTAATTCACCACTGTTCCCAGCTCTGGTTGTGAGTAAATTATGGATATAGTGTGTGTCGGGGTGACTGATAATCGAGTAGAGAGGATAGCTGCCAGTGAGTTGTTTCCGGCAAGGTTAGCACCAATTGATGAAAAGAAGCTATTAAATTTAGTGGACGTTTCTAAGTCTGTTACAAGTACCTTACCTTGAGGTAACCTTGAGGTGCTTCCGGGGCTCAGCGTCCCGGCGGCCCGGACGTCGACCAGGCCTCCTGGTTGTTGGACTGATCAACCAGGCTGTTGGACGCGTATGTAACCATATTTGGAGAGTTGAATCATAAAGAGTGACAGTGAAGGAGTGACAGTGAAGGAGTGACAGTGATGGTGCAGCCCGTTCTCGCCTGCGTTCCCACCGTCAAGAAACTGTCGTACTAAAGTGCGTTATCTTTATCTACCAGATGACTCACGAAGAGAAAACGGGGCAGTGTCACTTTAGCGATCCGCTACCATTTTCTAGTACGACAGTTTTTGGTCTTGGGTAAAGTATACGTCAAAATGCGACGTATTATTAGGAGGACGTGTTGATGGTGTGGGAGTGACGTTGACAGTGAGTGATTGAGTGACGGTGATACAAGAAACACTTATATAGGCCTACTGTTCCAGCAAGAGATAACGTAACATTACCTAATTACTCAATATTCTGGGTAGGCTTATGTAAGACAATATCTAGTGGTTTCCATTATCAACAGGTCTCTTGAAGTGGGCATACCTCATGTAAATAGCAGGCAGCTGATATTCTAATCTACATTCCAGGAAAAATTGACATAGGGCTAGATCAGCCTATAGGAGAAAGATTACACTGCACATAAGGCGGTTGGCTTACCTAACCATGCTAGCCTATCACAGCCTAGCCTAATACATCCTAACCTAACGATATACGTGGTTATGACAATCGGAAAACGAGCTTTGCCGAATCGTCTCGTGTACGATTTGACTATACCTCCATCAGCTCACTCTTCTCTTGAACATCCATAGACAGCGAATATAATGATTT